GATTTCATCGCCAATCAGTCCGTTGGTGCTAATACAACTTCCCAAGTAGGTGAAGTGGTCAACATGTTCTATCACTTCACTCCCTATCACTAAGTTAGGGGTTGACGTCGTCCAGTCCTGTAGCAGCATCTTACATTTTGCAGGGGCGAATCGCATGCCAAACATACGAAGATTGCTGCTCAAGGTGTTCAGAAGACTCTGCATTTTGTCAGCATCCTCCCCTAACAGGACTATGTCATCTGCATATTCTAAGTCCATTAGATTATTCCCTGGTAACAAGTCGATTCCTAAGTCACTACGTTCAGTTAAGGATACTTCCATTAGCATATCTATGATGAAGTTAAACAGAAATGGGGAAAGTGGACATCCCTGTCGGACACCACTGGTTGTTACTAATTCAGATGACAATTCCCCATAAGCCCTTACACGACTACGTGAGTTTGAATAGAGTGCCTTGATTAGTGCAATGTACTTTCTTGGCACTCCCTTCACAGTCAGACATTGCCATAGTACTTTTCGGTCCACGGAGTCGAAGGCCGCCTTCAAGTCAAGAAATATGACAATTGTTGGACGCCGAAAAGTGTGTCTATGTTCTAGAATCTGTCGAAGAGTGAAGATATGATCTATGCACCCTCTACCTGGTCTAAAGCCTGCTTGATTTTCCCTTGTCTGTTCCTCCCGAGTTCTGCTTAGTCTATGCATGATTACTGAGCCTAGGATTTTAGAGACTATGTTCGTTAGGCTGATCCCCCTATGATTATCACACGAGGACTTGTTTCCCTTCTTGAATATCGGTATAATGAGTGACTTACCCCAGTCTGATGGTACTGTCTCTGATTCCCAGACTTTGCCTAGTACCTCAGTTAATCTACAAACTAGTATGTCACCCCCATATTTAAACACCTCCGGAATAATTCCGTCGGGTCCTGCCGCTTTGCCTCGTTTCAAATTACTGATAGCTTTTGTAACCTCACCTACAGACGGCGGACCAGTGTCTATATCCCATTCGGGTACGTGGTGGATGGCGGGGAGGTTCAGTGTGGCTGTAGGCAAGTTAAATTGTTCCTCAAAGTGTTCTTTCCAGCGTTCAAGGCGTCTATCCTGAGAGCTAATTAAGGAGCCATTTTTCTCAGAAATAGTCTCACTTATGAATTGCCTTTTCCCGCCCGATTCTGTGATGAGTCTAAAGAGTTGCCTAGTGTTGCCTATCGCCAATGCTTTTTCCATCTCTTTCGCCTTTGTCACCCACCACTGTTCACGGTCCTTGCGGAGACTTTTAGTAAGTTTCCTTTTGTGCAGCTTTCGCTCCTCATTGAATTCGGAGCTCGCCGGAATAAGTCTTCTAGCATCTATCAGTTCGGATGAGGCAGTCGAAATCCAGTGGTTTTTACTCACCTTTGGATTTGTCTTATTCACAGCTTTTACAGCTGTATCTATAGCTGACTGAATATTCTTCCAGGCTTCTCCAGGGTGAGCACAGCTGTCGGATTCAGATATGCGTTTAGCTAGTTCTTCCTCAAATAGGGATTTAGTTTCCTGATCGAGCTGGGGGCGTAATGGTTTTACCGCCAGCTGTTTCCTACGTCCGTTCAGTCGTAAGCACACACGAGCCCGGACCAGTGCGTGATCGGTATCTACACACGTGTTCCAGAAGGAGCGACAATCTCCTACCGACCCACGCCAACGATAGCTTATTGCTATGTGGTCTATTTGTGTCCAGCGTTGGTTTGATGATGGGGGTCGCCAGGTTAAACAGTGTCTCTCCTTGTGTTTAAAGTTAGTGCTTACAAGAAACAAATGATTATCTGAACAGAACTGTAGGAGACGGTCACCGTTGTCGGTTCGCTGGCACGGAACTCCATAGGTGCCACCGACATCCTTCTCAGATTGACACAATTTCCCTACTTGAGCGTTGAAGTCACCAGCTAGAACGACTATATCTGAGCGTTTAGCCTTTCTCACCAAACTAGACAGCTTTTGGTAGAACTCATCCTTCGTTTCATCCGAACTGCAGTCAGTGGGGGCGTAGGCGGAGATTACGAAAAGGCATCGGCGAGTAGTGCAGTCCTTTCTCCTTCTTACTGATCCGTTCAGACGGACAGCACACATTCGGCTATCTACTGGGATCCAGTCAAGCAATGTCTTTTCTGCCCTAGTACTCAGAGCTATCCCTACGCCAGCTAATCCCCGTGAACTAGCTGTGGCATCTCCTGACACCCTCAAGGTGAATTTTGAAGATTCATCCTGTTGGCCAGGTGGGGTTAGGTGAATAACCACACTTGGGTCTTGTATGCGTGTTTCTGAAACACAACATACATCAATGGCTCGAGATGCCAGGGTCTTAGCTAGTGATGCTTGTTGTCCTATTTGGCAAAGTGTCCTTACATTAAATGCTCCTATATGAAATTGGTGGCGTGGCTTTAGGAGACTATCCGTGGTGGTTTTTTGGCTTTCGTCGTTTTTAGTGGACACAGAGTGAAGAGGGAGTGAGGAGCCATCAAGTAGAGGAGTTGCATCACTGGGGGAAGGTAAGGTAATAGAGATGAAGATGAAGACAAAGATAAGTGAGGATTAGAGAGGTTTTGTGTGCGTTTTGGATTGTGAGGGCGATTGTTACTTCCCGGCTGCCCACACCGTGGAAGTTGGTTGCGTGACCGCAGAGCCCAGGGGACAACTGCTTGTGGCCGGTCACACGCGGCCTGTTTTTGTTCGTTCTTCGTTGTTTTGTGTGCCTCAGTAGCATACTTATCACTCCCGCCCTGTGACACGGCAGCAGGAAGCGCGGTCGTTGTTAATCCGGGCCACGGCCGATCCGGCATGAAATTTTGTGAATTTGTTTGGATCATGGTATTGGATGAGGTAGCTGCTTTTTGTTTAACCGCTATCCAAACAACCTGCCTGGCATGGTAGAACCTCAAGAGACATAAGTCTCAGCCAGTATAGCTTGATTAGGTCATTGCGGTGTTCAAGCCCGACCACCACGTCAAGGTAGCAGCTTTCGGTCGGGCCTGAATATTTGTTGCACAATTCGTTCCCGCTGGGTTGGTTCGTTCATTGCCAGAGATCCCTTCCTGTTGCTGATCTCTTCTGGTCGGCCATCTGATCTTGAGTATTACTGACCGATGTTCACCTGAAGGCTATCTTTGATGCTGCTTCTGCCAACTTGTCGCTTTTCATTTGCATATCTTCCAGTTTGTGGAAAATCAGACACATGTATCATCCACGAAATCCACATCCTCTAAGTTTTTTGTATGATTGCATTTTAAGCCTGTTTCCTCACTGCCCGCTGTCTGTCGCATTGTTCAGTCTACCGCAATCAGGAAAATCAATGCAGATAGTAGGCACCCAGCCAGCTTGTCTTACTCCCGTCTTCACTTCGAAGGATTTCGTGAGTTTCCTTTTGTGGATTACTTAGCATGCAGCTTTATCGTACAACTGTTGGATGAGGTGTATAATTGTTGGCGGCACCCCGTAGTAGCGAATTAGCTTCCGAATCACCTCTCAATCGACTCTGTCTGCTGAAGGCCTTTTCAAAACCGATGACGTTATTATCCTATTAAACTGTATTTATTTATTGAGGCATTTTATTCCACAAATTTAGATAATTCAATATTTTTTTAATATTTTATATTTTCAATATTTTGATTATGGCTTTATTCCAGAAAGTACTTTTCGTACAAGTATGGAATTTTCAGCATGTGATAGTCCAAAATTTCCAGGCCGACCACTGACATTAGGTGTGCATCGGCTGGAGATCGCACCCTAGACCATGTGCATGGTCGGCGAGAGACCTAACCGCCTTGCCACAGACGTAACTCACATGTGTAAGTAGAATACATTGCATGAGTATCTTCTGCAATGCCTTCTGTCTGTCTGGCGTATCCTGAAGCCAGACGCCCACAACGCCTCCCCCAGTCAACTCCACGTAAACTGTCATAGGTATAGGCAGCAGCGTCACTTTCTGTCTTTTTTAAAAGACCTATCAGTTCTTCAACTGTGTAGAATTTCCTCAGGAACGATGTCACATCTCTTCCTTTTCAAATATATCTTGATCTCTAACAGAGGTAGCAACACGCCAATTATAAAGTAGAACAAACAGGTGTAACTAACTAACATTTGTTTAATGTTTAAAGTTAAAGGCTGAGTGAATTCTATCAGTCGAGATTGCATTTATGTGTGATTATCACCAAGTCTAATGATTCAGAATGACGGTGTATATACCTACCTACTTTGAATTGATTTTTTGATGGTGGGGTAACGAATTTTCGAGGTTGTAGACAAGCGAGCTTGCTAACAAATGACAACAAGCACGGGAACAATTGCCTTCACAAATAGCTAAACCGCTGAAAGATGTTTAGATAGAACGAAACTTAAGACAGAGCGCGACCACTTCACAATGTCTTCATCGATGAGTTACTACCTCATCTTCGACCTGCTGTACCCTACTAGTGATGGCTTCCCACTAGAACCCTAGGTTAACTGCCTGAATAGGGCCAGTCACTAGTGAGCATCAGATTAATTTTCAAGTATTGGTTTTGTAGGGATTTTTTTTGATTGTATGGAGGATTTCACCATGAGCTGACATCAGTTAGAGAACCGCTTGAAAACCAGCTGGGAGTACTGGACAGCTGTTTCGTCCTAGTCTGGGACTTTTCAGCAGTACGCACCCACCGGGGTTCGAACTCAGGACCAACTGGTTACAACGCGAGCTCGTAGACCATTGAGCCACTGGGATCCAAACCAATGGTCCTTGAATTCTAACTCCTGCCAAGTCACGATACAGCGCGACCACTTCGCAATGTCTTCACCGATGAGTTACTGCCTCATCTTCAACCCGCTGTACCCTACTGGTCACGGCTTCTCTGACTGATGTCAGCTCATGGTGAAATCCTCCATACAACCAAAAAGATCCCTACAAAACCAATAATTGAAAGAACAAAACTTAATAAATAGAAGAAAAAAAATTCACTTCTGATACAATGTAACAGTTAAAAGCTTACTTCGTTGATTCGGATTTGTAACAACAACAAATGATGATATCCAATCGGGTTGTGAATTTGATGCCAAAGTGAAAAGTACAGTTAATGATGTAGCATGTAATACAACAATATGTGGATATTGACCACAACAGAACAATAGACGATAGTCAAGAAAACATGTTTTATGCGACTAGAATAATAAAAAAGACAAGAGAAAAGATTTAGAAGTGAAAAATAGAAAATTGAAAAAAGTAGCAAAGTTAGATGAAAATGAGCACATGAATGACACTGATTAAAGCGGCCACGTAATAATCAAGTATTAATAACGAATGCTGTTCACAATTTAAGACGATTCCCAAACAGGTTGGAACGTAAATAATCCACCCTACAGTTAACTACTACCATTAACCAGACCGAATCAAATCCCATCAATGAAACGCACTACATAATTATTCACTCGGCAACTATGTGAGGAATCAACAACAACAACGGCTCAAGCACTCGACATTCATTTAATTGGCCTTTGGTTCGAATCCCATTCCACCTGGATAGCGTCATTAATCCTCACATAAAGCAAGTGAGGCAGCTTGTGGCCTGTTACATGAAAATCTAATCCTGGTAACTGAGTACTGAAAATTCAAGAATACGGGGTCACTCACAACTATAAGTAACTACATGTTGTTATTAGATGGTTGGACGCAATCGACAGGAAACCTCGCCTGACCTATGTTTTATACTTGTTGGCACTAACCAGTCAGCAAGGCATATCTGCAATCTTGAAGGAACTCATATGCCTTCTGAGATTCAAAACCGTGCCATCCAGTGCTGCAGTCAGAGATGTTACCACTGAGCTATCCGGGCTCGCGATTGTCCTCCTGTAGGACTGAATGTATTAGATACTTTTAACTGAACATCAAATAGTGTCATGTGTCTAGTCCTTTGCTTACTGCGGACTGAATTCTATCAACCGATTGCCTCCAACCACCTAATAACAAAAATCCTGAGTGCACCGTGATGGTGAGCCACTTAGTGGCATGGTGGCCACATTGCAAACTTGACTGATAGAACTCAGTCTGCAGTGAACAGAAGGACTAGACACATGACACTAGTTACTGGTGTCCAATCAAAAGTAACTGCTTGTCACCAACATATTAGCGTATATTGAAATTTCTTTTCTAAAAGTTCCAACGCATTTCACAGTTGAACATAAAAATTAGAGCATATTTATCAGTCGAAAAACTCTGCAAAATAACCCCAAGAAGACAATGAATGCTGACTAGTTTTACTTGATATGATTAACGAAATCAGAGTAAAATTAAACAAGGATTCACAAACAGCCAACTAAAACAAAAGAACTATGAACCAATCTCATAGAACAAAACCCACCTTGATATAAGTGTGCCGATAGCGTGTATCCATTTTGAATTCTAAACATTTTCCATCAGACCAATTCCAAACAGCCATTTCGCTGAAGAAGAAGATGAAGAACAACAACAACAGAATAAGAAACCTATATTTAAGGATAATAAATGACAAAATGAACAAAATCTAAAAATTGACTGAGATTTCAACTTGGAACTTTGTACAAGGATGCACCACTTCAAGTTGCTATACTAGACGTACGACACGAAGGCAGAGAAAGCAAAAACATTCAAAACAACCATAATGAGCAAAATTGTACGGGGGAAAAATAATTACACGGAAGAAATAAGGACTTAATTTATATGGGAGACTAGATAGTCACCGGCCACTGAATCTTAGCTCCCCGAGGAAACCAACCAGTTAGTCTGCATCCCTCTACATAGATAAAAACAACATTCAAAGACCTCATAGGCTGATAACCCCATTTACTCTTTCCCAACCTAATCCTATATCAGCTCCTCCATACAGAAGGCAGTGGCTTGACATGAGTGACCTATGTCCTATCCATCAAAATTGATTTCCTTTTACAACCTCATCGATTGACTTTCCCTTCTTACCTAACACTATACCCAGGCACGATATTACTCACTATGAACCACTTAACACAACATGTAGACTGCAAACACCAATGATCAAAAACCGCCAACCCTTTCAGACTTCCCACTTTCGACGGTTATGTTTCACGACCATAAAGGACACAGAGATAACACAGATGATGTAAGCTGGAAACTATCACACTAGCCATTTTGTATCTGTGCTTAGATTTCGTTAGAAAGCAGTTCATTTGGGTCGATGGAACTTCTTAAATAAGTTCAATGGTCAACAAACCTAACCATTTCATTGCCTATCGTTAAACTAGGGAGTCAGTGAAGGCCAGTTCTGCAGCATTATCTTATATGCCAAACACACTAGGATTTCTGCCCCCAAAGTGCTCAGAAGATTGTGTTTTGTCATGGTATTCGCCTAAAGGAGAATTATACCATCATTGACGATACTGTACTCTAGTAACAAAATCTCATAAAATTTTAAATTAACTTAATGATTCTCTTAGTTGAGTGACTTCCTTTTAAATTCAAGACGTTCTACATATAAACAAAGTTTCTTTGTTATTAAATATGTGTAATAAAACTTTGTTTCGTGTTTTGCAGAGCTGCATTAAAAAAGCATAGTAAGTAGAAGAATTGTAACTTTTAATGTACACATAATAAACACCGTTAGAATTTTAGTAGAATTGTTTTAAAAACAATATAACGATTTTGCATATTGTATAAACAACTAAAAAGTTGTATGTACTCATAGTCACATGACCGAATATGGCCTATGAATGCAATTGTTTAGCATAATCTGTCCATTCCATTCATTGAGGTGGTAGAGGAATTTCTACCTGTAATCTTTGTACAAAGTCAATTAATGTAAGAAACTAAATGTTTACAAAAATAATCTAGCAGACAAACTGGTCAGAGAAGCAGACAGTGAAGACAGGACTCCAAGTGAACATAGACAAGACGGAGGTTATGAAAATAACTAGCCAACCACAACAACAGCAACATTCAGTGCCAATCACCGTCAACGGGAGGGATTTGAAAGAGGTTGCTTCATTCACTTATCTAGGGAGCATTGTCTCAACTTCAGACAGTCGGAATGGACGGCGATGTCAAATCGAGCGAGAATCGGGAAGGCGAAATCTTCGTCACTCAACTCAGCATCAACAACAAATTCGACAGGATCTTCAATACAAACGTCAAGTCAGTCAATTCTTCTATACGGATCAGAAACTTGGCGGGCAGGTCACAAAGAATATTTCCAACAGCCTGTTGCAGACCTTCATCAACAACTGTCTTCGCTGGACCTATACTGAAGATCAGATGGCTGGGCCGGAAGGAATCACCAACAAGAAACTATGGGAACAAGCAAAACAAGAACCAATCGCCAACCAACAAATATGCAGGAGAAAGTGGAGATGGATTGGACACTCGCGGCTGAGGAGGCCGCCGCCGGGTGACATCGCGCGCGCGTCAGGCCATTGGTCAAGTGGAACCAGGCCGAAAGGGAAGCGGTGAGTGGGACGGCGGTGCAAGGGCGACTTGGAGGAGATCGTATGAAGAGGAGTTGAAACAGTATGGACTAACATGGATGCAGGTGAAAAGTACGGCAGAAGATAGAAGCAAATGGAGACGTGCAGTTGAAGCCCTATGTTCCACTAGGAACCCAAGGGAACAATAATAATAGTAATACAACTGAAATTAAGGTATAATTGTTGATACATGTATCAGCGTAACTATTAATCTTCATCGAGATGTCCTACGCTAGGAAGAAAACCAACTGACACAGGAAATCATATCACATGTAGTTGTGAGATACCCGCGGATGATCACAACAAGACATGATCTTATTCAATGAAGCCACAAATTACTGTTCTAATGTGTGAGGAGAAGAATGTATATTTCCTGCTTAGTGTCTCTGGTAATATCGAAACTAGTTAGTGGAAAGTTAATATACTATGGCATAGAAACATCAATGCAAGTTATAAAGATTTTGTGTTTGAAATCTTTCTTTTCTAGAACCCATTCTCGCTTTTTTTAATTCTATTTATTCATGGATTACCGTTTCGTTTTGTTTGCTTTCGCTTTCGTCGACATTTATTTAAAAATCTACTGTCTTAATAGGTAAAAAACAGATTTTCATGAAGATTAAATAGAAGTAAAGTATGAACGGCCAATATTCTCTATAATAAACTCTTATAACAACAGTTGCATTGGTGAAAAATACATTTTAAACGGATAACAGCTGTAGCTAGTTCAGGTATATCAAATCAGTACTAAAGGTGGTCACTTATAGTCTGAATATCACGGTAGTTAACTCTCTGACACCATGAACAAGTGAACCAATTAGATTTTCGATATTTGAGTCTTTTAGCGATGCATATATGAACAAACTGGGAGGTGGTTCTAATACAAAATATGGTAGATGAAAGTTAGAAAACAAAAATAGAGGTTGAACTGCCTAACAGTGGACAAATGATAAAACTGAGAGACAATAAGCTAAAATGTATTGGCATTTATGCTCATATAACTCTACCAAACAAGAAAATATCAGTTTATTTCAAAAGACAGTTCTAAATTTTGAAATAACAATCTGAGATTCCTATTAGTTTAATCAAAACAACAGTTTATAAGATACATACGTCATATAAAACAAAGGAATCACTTAACGTCTGCACAACGTACGGACGAGAAATACCACGCAAAGTCAGAGTCAGACTGAAATCCAACAAATCGCACGTTAATGCATGAAACATACAGTAACAGTATCGTCTGGCTTCCCAAATAGAGTGATTGAGACACTTGATCACTTCATTCTATATAGGGATATTGATTTGTCAGTCGTTAAGTTGAGAATAACAATAACTTTACAAAACTCTCCATGGACGGGTAGACACAAAGTGCTGAGGTGAGTGGGATAATAGAGGAAGATGCCAAACTTCAATGCCACACAAGATAACAGCACAAGAGTAAAATAAAATCTATCAACCAAGTAGAGTGGTAAATTAATGCATTATAAGCATACAAGACTATTGTAAAGCGAAAATATCAGTAAATTTAGGTTTGTTTTAAAGTAAAAGCCATGGTTACAATGAAAGGCATAAAATTATGAGGAGGAGGTCTACAGAATTGGTTTCCGTCGATAAAAATCATACTCATGACGTTTCGTTAGTTTTCTTTCATATCCCTTTAACCATGTGAGTTCTAATATATAAGGGCACATTGTTAAACCACCAAACGGTGACTTAGGCCTATGATATACTGCTCAATTTCACACCAAACAAAATATATCTTGGCAACATTTTGGAGTTGCTTAAATGATAAAATTAAAAAAGCAGATAAAAAACTTTGTTCTAAATGAGCCGTAATAAGGGAACACTACAATGAAGATTTCGTGCGTAGGCTCGATGCTCCAATAAGAAACAAAGGGACGAAAAATACACACATATATTGTGGACTAACACCTCAAACCTGGATCCGAAACAACTATTCAATCAACGAATACTGTGCATAATATATCATTAGTCCATAAACACATAAACCAATATAACTAAAACTGACAATCTAGACAACTCACCCATTAATAGAGTAGCTGAAGAAAAACTGGTTATTACTCATAGGAGAGCGTCCAGCAATGCACAGGTTGGAAATCAAAGACTTGTGGCCAGTGAGCATCCATCTGGGTGTGCAAATGCAGGAATTTCCTAGATCCCAAATGACTATGTTCCCATCAGCTGATCCTGTAGCAACATATTCTACATCCTCTGACACCAAAATGGAGGTTATTTGATGATGAGGAGGGGTATTAGCCCATGTAGCAATAGGGATTACAGTATTTCCACTTATTCTGATCATTTTTAATCGGAAAAATTACACTAATACGGTCTCAATGAGGGAGACAAGTAGTGTAACGAAAACATTTCAAAAATGCGCTAGATTTCGTGGCCTTACCATCCAAAATCCAATATCGTTTTTACGAGCTAGTATAAACCAATTTGATTTCTTTGTGCTCCCTTCTTGATTGTAAGGTATAGGTTCCTGATCTTCGGTAAACTTCTGCGTAGCTCGACCCGTCAACATACAATTTATAGATTCGTTCATACATTCCATTATGGGTTTGAAGAATCGTAGGAATTCCGATTTACCTATGTCACATTCTCTTCTGCAAAAATCAAATGTTTCAAAACTGCCTCCCTTATCCATCCGCTACAACCAACATAAAGAGGCCGAATCTCCAAACTTTATACTTCTTTGGTTAAGTTACCCAAAAATATTCTCATTTTAGGTAGATCCAATGCATATCACATCCAATATCCAATATCGTTTTTACGAGCTAGTATAAACCAATTTGATTTCTTTGTGCTAGCTTCTTGATTGTGAGGTATAGATTCCTGATCTTCGATAAACTTCTGCGTAGCTTGTCCCGCCACTCGACTATCGTAGCTTTGGTTAACTCCAAAGGGAGTAGTGCTGGGATTAATTATATGTGGTTTGTAGTATGAGGTATGTTAAGACTGTTACTACTGTGATTGGAGTTGATCTTTTCGCCAGTTAGTCCTTCGGTATCGTCGACAAGAGAAAAGAGATAGCAATAATAATAATAGATATAATTAGTGAAGCTATTCAGACTAAGAGACAGAAACGAAAATAGGAAACGTAACAACAGTCAGCTCATTAAGTTTGAAGAATAATATATATATCGGTAATAGTAATAATAATAATAGTAATTATAATATTAATAAGTTGTCAGGAGAGTAAGACGGGAGAGAATGTAAAGAAGTAAAACGACGAGTTTAATTATCTACCCCTGATTGGTATATGCGATTTTAAGGAGATAGGCCATTTGGATGCAGCCCTTGTATCGCTGCATGGTTGTTCAGCCTTCGCTTAAAGGCGTCCAAAGACGGTGCCATAGCTACATATGCCAGCAAGGAATTCCAGGGACGGCAAACCCGCAGTGAAAAGAAGTGGGAGCGCACCCGGGTCCTTGCCCTCTGGTGAGCTATCCTTCTGGGATTTCCACGTGGGAGCCTATACATACTCAATGCCAGAACACCTTTGTTTGGGTGATTCTGGTCATTTGTTATTTTGTAGGCAGTAATCAAATCCCCCCTAAGCCGACGGTAACTAAGTGTGAACAGGCCTAATTTCTTCAGCCTTTCATCATATGGTTTGTTTCGGAGACCAACCACTCCTTTTGTTACCCGTCGTTGGACTCTTTCCAAGAGGTTGGCGTCTCTTCTTAGCATTGGGGGTGCAATAATATTATGCACCTCAAGGTGTGGCCTGACGTATGTTTTGTACAACATTAGAAAGAGCTCAGGAGTGAGTGCACCTAACTGTCTATCAGAGAAATTTATCTACACGTGTATTCGTTTCTTTAATCTGAGAAATATACTTATCCAATTTTTTATTCCTATTTCAAAGCCCGCCTTAGTAACGTGCAATACGTATTAACTGCAAAGTTTACGCCAATGAAAATCTACCAGTCACAATATGCATAAGTGACGTTGAAGTGCTCAGCCTCTCCACAAGCCGTTTAGAAACTGTAAAAGGCGAAAGACTTGGTAAAGGAATGTTTATTTGGAAGTCGGTATCCCCATCTAGCTAAATTATGTATACCTTATCCTCAACGTACCATTTGTACAGATCTTCCGTGTTGCGTTACAACTGCCCTTCCTTCATATTGTGTTTCTTTGTGTTCCTTTCATGTCTACCATGCGTCTTCACAACGCTGTGTCATTTTTATTCTCTAAAATCAAACGTATCTCTATGCTGTTTACTGCTTCTATGCCGAAGAAATTCTCTTTATATGCTACTGATAGATCTTCTGGCGATTGTGTTGCAAGAGGATGCCTTTAACTGGAAGGCAGAGGTCGTCATTGATGTGTGAGATTGTGCTGTGAGTATGCCTGTGGTGTGTTGGCTTTGCTGTTTGTTTTCCATTTCAGCTCTGTCCGTGTGACCCCGTTTCTCGCAATGACATCCAAGTCAACGTGTATTGGTCGTGATGGAAAAAAGGATGGATCCGTATTTTGCTGGGGAGTGTCAATGTAGTTGAAGAATGAACGATCAATTCATGGTTGTTTGCTCAAAACCAACTTCCCCAATTTTTGCGGAGGCATCAATACGACAGTCATCGTCTCATCGGTCGCTGTTCAGAAAGAAGTCATAAGTAAACCGTCAGAAGTAATGTTGTGATTTATTATTGTAACATTTGTTCACAGACCTTAGTGGAAACATTTTTTATATGTTGGTGTTACAATAAAGAATTCTCGAGTCACCAATTGGTGTTTTGGTTTTTTGGTCCGTTATTACTAAGCGTTCTGAGAAACTTCAAGGAACAGCGTGAGCCCGAGCGTAGCAAGAGTTGGACATTAACGGTTTACTAGACGTGACTGACAGAGTTGTCAACGTCCAGGTTTAACTACATGTGCACCTACGCTGTCCTTCATAGATTTTAAGAAACAATTTGTAATAACAAATGTGAAAAACCAGAACACAGATTGGCAAGCCGAGTGTCAATGGAGTTGAAGATTGAACGATCAATTCTTGGTTGTTTGCTCAAAATCAACTTCCTCGATTTTCGCGGAGGCATCAATACGACAGTCATCGTCTCATCGGTCGCTGTTCAGAAAGAAGATTAAACATCGTCAGAAGTAATACAGAGATTTATTATTGTAATATTTGTTTACAGACCTTAGTTTGCTTAGTTCGCTTATTCCTTTTATATGTTGGTGTAACAATAAACAAATATCAAACGGCAGATCGGTGTTTTGGTTTTTGCGTCCGTTATAACTAAGCGTTTCTGAGAAATCTTCTAAGAACAGCGTGGGCCCGAGCGTAGCGAGAGCTGGGCATTAACGGTTTATGAGACTTTGCTGACAGTTTCTGACGATAGAAACAGATCTGGCGGATTGAAACAGTTGGTGAAAGTTTGGATAGTCGCCGTTCATTTTTCCTGGTGCCGGTCAAGTCCTCTTTGAACAAGCAATATCTGGAACTTTTTGGAATTTGGTCAAGTTCAACAATGCCTGGGTCAAAGAAGGGACAGAGTGTCTTGGATGCAAACAGGAAAGTAAGTCATGGTGACTTGTCTGTTAATTGTAACGATGTGTCTGATGTTAAGCATGACATGGTTGATGTTACTGTTTCGCCGTTCAGGGATAATAGGAACATCAAACTCCCTAAATTAGAACCACGGTGTTTTGATGGAAACCCGGCTGATTATTTACAATTTGTAAAGGAGTTTGAGATCATGTTGAGTGGTTTTTTATTAAATGATGAATTGAAATTGATGTATTTGATGAGATATTGCACTGGAGATGCTGCAAGAGCTATACAGTGCTGTAAGTTTATGAAGCCAAAGAGGGCTACTACGAGGCTATGAGCATATTACGTCAAAGGTTTGGAAGACCCTCGATGATTGCAGGGAAATTATTCGAGGCTGTTGAGGGTAATGGTGGTCAGTTACAGGATGACTCCCAGGCACTCACTGAGTTTTTAGATAATTTGCTAATTTACAAGAATGGAATGATTTCGATGAATCGAATGAGTGACCTCAACTCGAGTTTTATCCTAGAAGTAATAGCAAGACGTCTACCTACTCGACTGCAAAGGAAGTGGGTGAAGATAAGCTCCCGTATGGAGGATGAGGGTATCGAGCCAAAGTTTGATGATATCCTGAAACTGGTAAATACTAGTGTCAATCAATCTATGAGCAAGTTTTCCAGTCTGTTAGATCTCACCCCTAGAATAGAGCAGTCTGAGGGTAAAACGCAATCATTGATGACGAGTAGGCCTCAGAGAGGTGGATATCGAGAAGACTCCATGATGTCTAGTAATGCATATAGACCTAGTGAGTGTAACAGGTTTCGTAGTACATCCTCAACAGATAAGTTACAAGATGCAAGACAAACACGGCTTTGTTCTACACGTGTGCAAGAGGTGCATACAGAAGTGAACTGTGAACCAGTGAGCAAGTTCAGTGATAAGCTAAATGTAAACTCCAGGCCTGACTCCGAATTGTGTGACGATAACGTTGTTGTGAAGAAGTCTGTAGTTGCAACTGGTAAGCCGTTGCTGAATAGAGTGTCACAGAATAGAGTTACTGCTTCAGAGTGGAGTTCTGACTCCAAAAGTTTACAAAGTATAACTAGTCAGAGTGAAGATGTAAAACCTTTAATGATTTGTGAGGAGGAACCAAAATTGTCTACTTCTGTTATTAAAGAGTTTGAAAATGATGAAGTTGACGGTAAATTGGATATTTGTGATAATGATCATGATAGTGCAGATTTGTCTTTGGTTGATCATGATGAAATGGAGGGAATGCCTACTACTGCTAAGTTAAATAAAGGTTCTGTACAACTTGAACGTGAAGTAGAAATAAATGCAGATTCAGTTGCAGAAGGCATGCATACTTGTAAGACCGTCAGTTGGAGTGATCAGCATGTAGCCCACCTATCATCAGATGCTAGTGTTAAACCTGAGCTGATAGTAAAAGACAGCAGTGGTGGTGGTCTTGCAGGTAGACAAATTTCTGAAAAGCGAGCAACAACAGCTTTTGATCCACTGCTAACTTCATCAACTGATATCAATCAGTCGTCGTTGGTGCTGTCATCCACAATGAAACAGACACCCATCAACTCAAGTATCTTGTGCAATGACTATGGTAGTATCAGTTCGTTTGAAAGGACGAATATCAATGGTCAGTTTAGTGTGGATAAGCCAAGTGTAAAGGAGAGAGTTATTGTTAAATTGACTTGCACGAATAAAGGCATTTCTAGTTTCAAGTTACTATTTGAATGTTATTATCTTTGGTGTAAATTACTCTGTTTCTACACTTGGTTGATGAG